ACCATCAAGAAGGGCATCGTCAACAAGGTTGAGGCGGGAGGCGCTGTCAAGAGCAACATGTTCTGGGGAGCGTTCGCCGCCAAGGGCTTCCTCCTTGGTTCTGGACTGCCAGGTAGTGGTATTCTCGATGCCATTGTCTTCAACAAGGTCAAGGAAGCCACTGGAGGTAGACTTCGAATCTGCTTAAACGGTGGTGGACCCATCTCAAAGGAGACGCAGCGCTTCATCTCCATTGCCATCACACCCATGATCAGCGGATACGGTCTGACCGAAACCTGCGCCATGGGTGCGCTTATGGACCCCTTGGCCTGGAACGAGCACGCCCTCGGTGAGATGCCTGCTTCAATCGAGATGAAGCTTGTCGACTTCGCGGATGCCGGCTACTTCTCCACCAACAACCCGCCTCAGGGAGAAATCTGGATCCGTGGCGGTGGTGTTGTAGACGGTTACCTGGACATGCCCGAGGAGACCAAGGAGGCCTTCACCGACGACGGATGGTTCAAGACTGGTGACGTTGGAGAGTTCAACGCCAACGGTGAAGTCCGCATCATTGACCGCAAGAAGAACTTGGTCAAGACACTCGCTGGAGAGTACATTGCGCTCGAGAAGCTCGAGTCTGTCTACCGCTCCGCACCCATTGTCGCAAACATCTGCGTCTACGCTGCGGAAGATCGCCAGAAGCCTGTCGCGATCATCGTGCCCACCGAACCGCAACTGAAGAAGATCGCCGCCGCAGAGGGTGTCCAGGGTGACCACCTCGAGGAACTTGTTCACGACAAGAAGATCAATTCTGCTGTGCTCAAGCAATTGCAGCAGGCTGGCCAAAAGGGCGGTCTGGCTGGATTCGAGATGATTGAGGGTGTTGTGCTAGCAGACGAGGAGTGGACACCACAGAACGTAAGTATCTTTGTGACATGGAAGAAAGTCTACAGAGTGCTGACATTACAACAGGGCCTCACCACTGCCGCACAGAAGCTCAACCGTAAAGGTATCTTGAAGCAGTACCAGAAGGAAGTTGACCAGGCCTACGGCAAGTCGTCTTAAAGACGTGTTGTCAGAAGCAAAAAGTTGAAGGACATTTCACGTGATCCTTGAACAACATGCTTGGCATCGTTGCAAATTTCCTATGACTATATGAATTGAGTTGGCGGAATATCCTCTTCCTTAGTATGGAGAAAGCTATGTAGTTATATCCTTGTTGCTATAGCACGGCGCAGGGGTCCTAGTTAAATGCTTATTCTGTGTGAATCTTGATCCCAGAAATTTGTCTCTTTACATATTGATAGATCGCGAAAAAGGTATTCCCTTGCGCATTTAGACATTACATCGACGTGCAGTGGTGCTCGACGAAAGCACCCACTCCCATGCTGCTCCGCAGCGTCTCACATGGTTGAGATCCGAGTTGACTGGTTATGTGGTTGAGAAGACAGGTCCACCAAGCGGATAGCTTACTGCTTCTTAGCGTCCCTCTCAGCCTTTCGCAGGGCACGCTTCCGGATGCTCTCGTGCATGCCCCTGTTCACCTTGACAACAGTATCCGAGCGCTCACCCAAGAAGCGCGAAAGGAACCAGTGCATGAGTCCGTGGCTCCAGTACGGTGTGCTCGTGAAAGCTACGCCTTGTGCACCTCCACTCCTTCCAATCTTGCTTAGTGTAGCGTTTACGAATTGCTTGGGGTTCGGAACGAGTGCAGACGTCTTGCGGATCTTGGACATGGCCGTGGTGACGAGGTGAGACTGGACACATTGGACGTATACACCGTGGGGCTCGAGTTCAGAAGCCAGCGCGGTGGACCATTGTTGTAGGAAAGCCTTGCTGCCGGAGTAGGTCGCGAGAAGGGGTGTAGGGAAGAAGCCGCCAAAGGAAGCCATGGTGAGGACGAGTCCACGCTTGCGAGACACCATGCCGGGGGTGACGAGCTGTGTGACACGAAGAGTAGCCATGCAGTTGATCATGATGATGTCGTTCATCTCCTGCTTGGGTGTCTCGACGAATGGTACTGGGATGCTGTGGCTCAAGCCAACATTGTTGACTAGTATGCTGACGTCGAGACCGTCAATGAGCTTCTTCATATTGTTGTAGTCGGCATCTTTGTTCTGCGCAAAGTCCATAGCCAGCGTCTTGACGGCGATCTTAGGGCCATACTTGGACGTGATGTCGGCGGAGAGGGAGTCGAGCTTCGATTGCGTACGCGAAACGAGGATGAGGTTGTAGCCCTTGGCTGCGAGGGAAAGGGCGAACTCTTTGCCGATGCCATCAGAGGCACCAGTTATGAGAGCCCAGGTGCCGCGGGGTCCGAATGTGCTGAGCTGGTGGGGGTTAGAAACATCCGAGAGGGTCAGGAATGTTTGGAGGGGCATACAGATTTACCTGGCAGCACAAACAAGCTGAGAAGAACTCGAATGGTGCTAATGACAGGTGCTGCGAAAGATGCAACGCCTACGAGCAGGAAGCCATAGACAGCAGCCTGCACGAACGAGTTGCTTGCGTCGATGTGAACACCAAACGGCTCGAGTATGCCTGCCATAGAGAGCAAATATGGAAGCGGCCAGAAATTGGGTTGGTAAAGCTAAGGAGCAGTTGCAAGCGGATGCAGCATTGAAGTTCGCATACTCCGTTAGCCCTCGCGACAATCTCGCGGCTTCGCTCTGGGCCCTGCCGAGGCTGGCCACTAGGGTCGCGCTAGCCCTCGGCACCGGAGGAACCTTTCTCCACACAAGCGATCGAATATTGCGATCCTAGAGCAACACCGAAAGCTCGACAATACCACCCGACCCGCAACCATGGCGACCGAACTCACGTACGTTGTGCGATACTGCGAATACTCTCGACCAATACTGATTGCGAAATAGTGTCCAGTCGGAGCGCGCTTTCCAGAAGCAGGTACTACACGCCCATTTCGCGAGCCCCCAGCACGTCCGATACTAATGCGATGCGATAGCCTCACATCTTCCTCAACCACAAGGTCGGCGGACCCCGCAAGAACACCCGCGCCAGGAGATGGTACAAGGACGTTGGTCTGGGCTTCCGTACGCCCAAGACCGCCATTGAGGGTACCTACATCGACAAGAAGTGCCCATTCACCGGCATGGTCTCCATCCGTGGCCGTATCCTTACCGGAACTGTCATGTCCACCAAGATGCACCGTACGTGTTAGCCCAATTCTCGGAGCGCGTACACCAGGCCGCAACAGGAATATCAGAAAGAAATGGGCAGCAAGAACTAACGAATTACAGGCACCTTGATCATCCGCCGTGAATACCTTCACTTCATCCCCAAGTACTCCCGTTACGAGAAGCGCCACAAGAACCTCGCCGCACACGTCTCCCCCGCTTTCCGTGTCGAGCCCGGTGACCAGGTCGTCGTTGGCCAGTGCAGGCCCCTCTCCAAGACCGTCCGCTTCAACGTCCTCCGTGTCCTCCCCCGAAAGGGAAAGGCTGCTAAGCAGTTCAACAAGTTCTAAGTGCATAGAAAAGGGATGGTGTAACGGTTCATGATCAGCAACGGAAAGAAACTTGGTTGAGGCGGAGTGTGACGGCTTTCGATATAGTCGTCAAAATTCGGCATCAAGGATTGAGGTATCGGAGTCCCATGGGCCATGTATGTTTCTTCAGCTACGATCAATGAAAGTCCTCGAGTGGTCAAACAAGCCCCGAGGCGGGTCAAAAGTCCATTGCTGTTCATGCTGCAGCGTGATGGATCTTGGTACATGTGTTTGCATTGGGAGCCCTGGCGATTAGTGTCTGCATAACATCACGTCTTCCTGTACTATGACATGTCCCTGGTTCAAGTTGTGAGAAGAGACACCGAATGAACGCGTCTTTGTACACATTAACATTACATCACTACCTCCATTTCGATACCCAATACTCCCCAGCCCCCAACGCTAGGCCTTGACGTAGAAATCCCACTGCATCCACATCCAGATCAAACTTGAAGTTGCGACTATCACCGGCCCAGCCAATGGCTTGCCCCATCTTGTGGTTCCATACACGAACCATTCACTCATGAAGTGTCCCCAGGCTATAGCATAAGTCCACAAAGCCAATTGATAGAAGCTCGGATTGTTGATGTTGTATGCGGCGTAAAGTCGAACCATGCCCGTCAAGAAAGTCCATGTTCCGAATGTGCGCGATGAGAGAGCGGTTACGTGTTTCGGCGTGGTAGGGGGCGGATCAATTGCTGTAGGGTTGTAGACGCGCGAAGTGAAGGAGAGCGTGGCGTAGCATTGCAGGCTGTTGCCAACAGAGACTATGGCGACCTGTAAGAATTGTTAGTTTGTGTTACGATGAGAGACTGCATGGAAATGACAATCGCAAGCGCGGAGAACAGGACATACAAATAGAAGCCATTTGGGCAGTAAGCCTTCCGCTTGAGGAAGATAGGATTGTAGCGCGTCCATAATGGCGAGCAATTGGTTGCTTAGAAGGTGGGCAAAGTCGTCAACGCGTGCGCACGTCTAGTGTTGTGTTTGGCAAATGTTCGGCCTTCTGTAGAACCAGCGGCATCTAAGGGTCTTGGCCTGTGCTCGTGGCGGAGGTATACCTCGAATCATACCTCAACCCATGGCATAGACCTATTGTAAAAGCATGGCAGCAAACGCAACTTATGGCTTTGGCGTCTTATAATCGATCTTTGTGGTACAAAAGCAATAACCGCAGACGTGATGATGAAGTGGGTGTTCCTGAGAGGCTAGCCAAAGGTGTACGACGTGCCTCCCATGTCAGGTCAGCCGTGTGACAGTACCTGAATACAATGAGGTCACCAGAAGCAGTAACGACGCGAGATAAGACCATACACTGCAAAGTCATTTGACCTTCTCTCCAAAAGACAAGGGTGCCCGACACCACCTGGGCAGATAGCACTGAGTGAGATATGTTATCGATAAGGCACCTTGAGAAAATGGAGCTGTTGATCATTCAACATGTTTCATCGCATACGACAATGTCTATTGTCAATGATTACATTTCTTATGCATATACAACTTGCTGCAGCTGATCATGCGCGTCTCGTTAGAAAGCGGTGCGAACGACAATGACGTTGAAGATGACGCGAACCATCCTCTTACCGGAGCTGCCAGAGACGAAGAAGCCCATCTGTTGACAAGAGAAGAGATGGACTTCGAAGACAACGCGTTGCCTGCGCGTAGTGGCCGACGTGCTTTCCTTCGCTTCTTGCGCGGTCCAGAGCCACCTCGCATCCAGTCCATTCAGCCAGTCTTCCCAGCCATCCAAGCGTATCCGGCGCAATGGACGGAAGCACACGGGTTCAATAAACCCATCTGGCTCTTTGCTGTGCTACTGCTGTGGCTTGTCATCTTCATGTGGTTTCTCACGGCACAACTACCGCTTCGCGATGGGGATGGCAATAGCGTGATCAACCTCGATTGCGTAGACACGCTCTGGAAACGAAAGAACGAATGCGGAATCGATGGGATCAATTGCCGCCCTTTCAGCAACCATTCATTCGCCTTCCGGTGTCCAGCAAAGTGCGGCGACGTGCAGATCTTGAATCCGCACATTGTTGGACCTCTCGAAGTAAACTACCGACCGCTTGTCATCGGTACGGGATCTTACCGTGGAGACAGTTTCATCTGCGGATCCGCGATCCATGCTGGCATTGTGGATGGCCGGAAAGGTGGTAAGGAACTGCCCGTACGAACTGTGTATAAGACATATACTGACATGTTATCTTCATCCTCGTAGGCTCTGGTCGGATTACTCTCGTTGGTGAGCATGACAAATTCGCCAGTACTAAGCGACACGGCATCGAATCCTTGCCTTTCGATTCGTACTTCCCGCTTGCCTTTTCCGTAGGCTATGACGATAGCTTCCACTCCGCTTCCGACCCTCGGTCAGCCTTGCTTCCTGTTTCGCTCCTCGTCACTGCTGCGCTTGCTATCTTCACCACGTCACCCAAGATCTTCTTTGCGATCTTCAGCCTTGTTTTTGCCCACGTGAGCTTTGTTTCCGACCCACCGTCGGCGTCCTCCCGAAACACTACTGTTCTTCCGGATCATCTGTCCATGTTCGCGAAGCGACTTTTACCGGCAATGTTTGTGGCCGTTGTCATATACTCCACTACTGTGAAGAGGTCATTACTGGGCATGACTGCTCATTTTGAGAAAGCACTCTTCTGGCTGAGCGGTCTTTGGGTTGGAGCGCTTTCAAACTATACTTTTGATTGGATACCGATATCTCGACTTACCTCGCACGATCTGGAACAACAACCCGGGGCAAAGCTAGCCTTGGCAATCATCGTTCTGGTGCTGGTGGTCATCATTGTAGGGCAAGTATATTTCTTCTGGCTCGAAGGCCGCCTACTCCGCTACCTCGGATTATATGGACTTTTCATTCTTGGAATCATTGTCTGCTTGACTATCCCAGGCGTAAATCTAAGGATCCACCATTACATCCTCGCGATATTGTTGCTGCCGGGCACGAGTTTGCAAACACGACCGTCTTTACTGTACCAAGGCATTCTGTTGGGTCTTTTCGTCAATGGAATAGCGCGCTGGGACTTTGACTCCGTCTTGCAGACTTCTGCTGCACTTCGCGCTGATGCGAAGTTCAACTCCGTGGTTCCCAAGATAGCGGACGCCACCGTCGATTTTGGTACCGAGGCGCTGGTCGCGACATTTCGGTATGAAGCACACCCGGTCGGAATTGACGGCATAAGTGTCTTAGTAAATGATGTTGAGCGCGACCGCGCGTTCTACGATGATGGGCTAGGTGGAGCTTCTTTTGAGTGGCGCAGGCCACTTGATAGTGGAATCAACGAGTACTTCCGGTGGGCTTATGTAAGAGATGGGAGAACTTTGGATTATACCAGGCCAGGTACATTATCTGGCAACGGCACGTGGATTCTTGGAGAGCCGGTGGAGAAGGTATGAATGCAGCTGGCTGCACGGTTGCAACTATAAGGATACCTCAGGTCTAGGCCCATGTGCCTGGGATGTGGTGGAAGCCCACGAGGTTCGTTGATTGGAGAATATGAGCTTTTACGATCACAAGAACATGTCAGGGTCTGGTCGTTGTTATCGCCCACATCCGAAGACCTGTCATTTGCTGTAGGCGACACCGGACCATGGTATCAGTTCCAAATACCCCACACTCTTCGTCACGAAGCCCGCATCACTATTAGCTTCAACCACAAGACAGATACGGTCTGAGGCTTCTCCGTAGCCCATATCTTTTCATCAACCCTTTTCTCTTCCGGCTCATACTCACTCATCCGTTCCTTCCAACCCTCACCACCACTCAAGATGGTAAGTCACAATTGTTCAGTTCTGCAGCCATGCCGCATATTTTCCGTTCAAATCAGAGTTTCAACACTCCTGGACAAGCTGCGATGCAAGATCCGTATCCAAGCAGCCATTTCGGGGCTATATGCGCGATTCCATGATGTATACTGACCATGCCACAGCACTATACACTCATCGCTTCGACGGCTGCACTTTCTGCACTGGTCCCGCGCCAGATGCGAAACTGCCCCGCTATACCTACATGCCCTCGCTGGAACGGTTGCGTATCTACTTCAACCAACGGTGCTGTATTCCAGCTCACCTGTGCGACCGACTACAACGGCCCCATCATCGACTCTGCCCAGGTACGTTAGAATCCGGAGGAAGACTAGAATACTATTCACACTTTTAAAGGCCGATGTATTCGTCGACTGCGCAGATGCTTGCTCTCGACACAAGAATTGCGTCGCATTCAACATGAAGGGAAGTTTCTGCTACCTTCTGGGCAACCCCAAGGGTACTGCCCGGCCAGCGTAAGTTTGTCTCTAACACTTCCATCTATTGCCAACAACTTTCCAACTCATCCTGCAGAACCAACGTGTCCACCGGCAATCAGCTCAAGGGTCCGACCATCGCAGAGCCCGCGCCTGGCTCCTCGACATGCACCGACGTCATCGACTGCCCTACCGATGACAAGTGCAGGTACACCACTGCGAACCAGAAGCCGTTCATTGCACAGTGCAACTGGGACTACTATGGTGGCGACATTGCCTACAAGTCAACCGAGTCCATGACCAAATGTGTGGACGTGTGTTCTGTTACAACAGGATGTGTTGCCGTTACTTGGTTTGACCAGAACTGCTACCTCAAGAACAACAACACCAACATGATCTACAACAACAATGTTGATAGTAAGCATTTGTGCAATCGCGAGTTTGATCTCCGGGCTAACGCATGTTTAGGTGTTCATCTTGAGAACTAGACTTCTCATATCTGAGACAAGCTGGATGCCGTCAACGTTGCACGTCATCACTGGATCGGTCACCACCATGCCGTGTTGTTGGAGCGGGCGTGTATGGAGTTTTCCAGGCCAGAGTGTTGCATGAAATGCCGCATACCGGCCCGTAGTCTGCTGCTCCAGTCGAGCATTCAATATCACGAATAACCCCCAGTTTCAGTTTCACCTTTCGAAAGTAGTTTCGATGATTGCGTCATTCTTTTGTACTGCGTACAAGAGCTAGTTTCACACATCTTCCTCTAGCGGCGCGCCTCGCTTACGGTACTTATGCTTGACCGGCAACACAGCCCGAACTTGGCATGGTAGGCTGTGTTCGACACCAACCAACAAACCCCAGCTATTTTGCCCTTGGGTCGATCTTCGAAATAGTCGAGGAATTGCGGGGTGATCATCAGGCTGAGACGTCAAGTGCACAGAGACGGGACCTGCGTTGAAGGCACGCGCCACGATAAGGCGACCTGTGTGTTGATCAACTTTCTCTTTTGCGCCTTGCTAAGTAGAGGTACTTATAGTGAAAACGAATCTACTCAATCTCGCATCTCATTTCATACATATTGGTATACTGCACTCCTGAGATTCTTCCACAGCTTCATCTACGCGTTACTAAAGTACTTCCAAACATGGGCATCCTGGCATCTTTCACTCGTCCTAAAAGTCCGCTTTGGCAAGGACCTCACCGCTTCCATCACCATCTCTTTCTCGTAAAGGCATTTATTCTTTTTGTTTTTATCATCATCATCATTTCCCACAATGCTTCCTTCAAGTACGGATTTAACGATCGCGACAACGACCCCCGCTGGCAAAGCTATGCGTAAGTCGCAGCACATAGTCTTCCCGGATTTCAAAAGTCAGACCGGTCGAATGAAGCGCGTACTAACTGTGTATGCAGCGATGATTGGTTCTTCCGCACAGGATTCGCAATGATCCCAGATACGGTTTACACCCTCTTCAGCCTCGTGGCTATACCCTCTTCAGCCTCCGCACCAAATTTGTTTCATCCCATCCTTACTCTCACTGTGTCCGTGGTCATGGTGTGTGTTTATGCGGCGATCTGCTTTCTACACACACTTATCATCTACAACGATGAGACCAACACCTACAACAAGTCGTATTGGGATAGCCTTGGATACGCTGAGGTGGGATTCCAGGGGGTACTAGGCCTTTCATATGCGGGAATGGCTCTGCTGAGTTGCATTGCTGTGCATCAGTGGAGGATGTCGAAGAAGGGTGCGAGGGCTGATTATACTGCGGACGTGGAGTTGACGCCTTCGACCAAGGATGGTAGGGCTAGTGATTTGAGTTAGATGGCCACTTAGAAGAGGGGATATTGTTTGATGTGCTTGCCGTTAGCGGGTTTCGCGGGTTGATCACGCCGGCAGCATCAAAGGGAACGAAAATGAGTAATGATGAGGTGAAATTAGACTACATGTATTTATATAGAGCAATAATGTGTAATTCGTCCTAGTTTCTGCAGTCTCAAGGAGAGAGTTCAAGGTGGGAGTGGATGACGCCTTATCTCCATGATCGCCGTTGATAGCACCCCACTAACGCTATGGTGACTCAACCAACCACGACTCATATAAAACACACGACATCTGCAACAGCGTCAATGTAGCCTGTCCAGCTGTCTTTTACCCCGATGGCGCTCCAAAGCCTCGTTGTCAGCGCGATAGCGGCTCATCCCATAACAACCTTGTTCTTCACACCTTTTCTGCTTGTATTGATTCGCTCGGTCTATCGCATCTACTTCCATCCTCTATCCCACATCCCTGGACCCATCTTACCTAAGCTGACCAGCATTTTCCTTCACTACCACGCCTACATCGGAGACGAAGCAAGCACTATCCACAAACTCCACGAACAATACGGCCCGTATGTCCGAGTCTCACCGAATGAAGTCGATATTAGCGACGCGGATGCTATACCCGCAATCTACGTATCGAAAGGAGGCTTTCCGAAAGCGGCGTGCTATGCAAATTTCGACATTGATGGCCACAAGACTATTTTCTCGACTATCGATACGGACTACAGGAGCCCAAGAGCGAAAGCTGTGGTCCCGCTATTCTCAACAAAAGCATTGAGGGAAAATGAGAGAGCGATTTGGGGATGCGTGGATCGTATGGTGGAGCGATTGAGGGACGAAGCCATGACAAAGCGGCCTGTCAACGTGCTCAACTTGGCGCGAAGCCTGGCTGTGGACGCAGTTTCTACGCACCTGTTCCGGGAGAATTACGATGGGGTCAGCGAACGCGGTCCAGTACTCAGCGTGAGCGCGTTCGTGGATGCGTTTGTCGCTGTCGGTCGCTTCTTCTACCTCCCAAATTTCGCTTTCACGTGGCTGGAATGGGCCGTTGCCAAATGGTTGCCCGATGCAGAGACTGATGATAGCATGATGCTTGTTGACAAGTTCATCGGCACACTGGTAGCGAATACGTCCGAGAAGTCAACAACATACCCCGGGCGTCTACTCGCTGCGGGGCTCAGCGACTCCGAAGTCAAGGCACAGTGCAAAGACCTCATCTTCGCTGGGACAGATTCTACGGGGATGAACTTGGCAACGATCATGCGCAATTTGGCGTTGTACCCAGACATGTACGAAAGACTAAAGGATGAGGTTAACAACAACATTGCCCTTGGTCCAGATGCGCAGGACGTTCAAGCGCTACCCTATCTCAACGCTATTGTCAAAGAAGGCCTCCGAATTAGCATGGCAAATCCTACGCGCTTACCTCATACGGTCCCTGCAGGAGGTTGGACTTTCAAAAACACCTACTTCCCAGCTGGTGCCATTGTCGGTTGCTCAGCATATGAGCTGCACTTCAACCCGGACATCTTTCCCTCACCAAGGAGCTTCCGGCCTGAAAGATGGCTGAGCCCAACAGAAGCTATGTCGAAATACTGGTTCGCATTCAGCGCAGGGAGCAGAGCGTGCGTCGCCAGAAACTTGGCAACCATGGAGTTACAATTCGCGACGGAGAGGCTAGGTAGAAGTGGGGTTCTTGATGGTGCAAGTGTAGTACAGAACGATGTCGAGATCTATGAGTGGTTCAATTCGAAAGTCAAGGGCGAGAGAATTGACTTGGTCTGGGGTTGAGTGAGATGGCTCTGCAATCCCCTTGACTAGATGAAGTTTCGACTTAGGAAAAGGGCATGCATTACATAAAATGAGAACAAAGGATGTACACTTGTGTCGTATGTCCGGTTTGTATGCGTCCTGGGAGCTTTCATGACAGGCATCCTGCCAGGTCTTATGTCACCCAGTGCCGATTGTAAGTGTATCGGTCAATTGCATGCACGCTTCCAATGCAGGACAGTGTCACTGAAGCAATCATGAGTTGAGTGAGCGGCCTCTTTGAGAACGACTGACCATCGCGGACTCCATCGGCAAGTTGCGAAGCAAGTAGTGAGAACATGCGATCGGTGAGCATACATCAACAAGGAAGCAAGTATCTCAGAAATTAAGGAGATGTAATGTATTCAGAAGAAGCTACAAACTAATAACGCGGAGCAACAAAGGGGAAGAGAAACAACGGTAGAAAGAACATGGCAGAAGCCAGCGCAAGCTCACACTAGCGTGAAACGGAGCGACGCGACCAACGAAGCGTGCAAAAAGACAGCAGAGCCAAAAGCGACAATCCAGCTACCTCATCGGTTCGTGGCATCGCAGGATGGCTCGCTTCAGTCGGCACGAAGAGAAATGCCCGGCGGAATCGGTTCAAGGACGGCACTTCTCGCCTTTCTCGAAGCACAACTCGACAACCTCGCGCGCGCCGTTGTGGAAGCACTTCTTCTTGATGCCGCAGGTGAACTGCCAGTCGCACATCTGGGAGGAGTTAGTCGACGAACCATACCAATGAAGATGATGCAACATTGCAGGGGGTGGGTGGGCAAGGCAGTGACTTACGTTGCAAGACTCATCACCGGACTCGCACAGATAGCAATCCTCATCGGCAAAGGAAAAGTCTGGCCGGGTTCCGTTGGAGATCGCCGGCTGCAAATGGGTAGTCGTTGTGTTGGAAGTAGGGGCGTCATCGCCAGCGAGCACCAGAAGCATCGCGGCGGAGCCAAGGAAATCGCCGGAAGCCATGGACGTGTCGTATGCTTTGGACGCCTCGGCGTCCTCTAGGAGGCTTATGCAGATCTCCGCTTCGCTGAGAGGGTCTTTGCACAGGAAGTGCTCACAGCCTTGGTCTTCGTCGCAAGCGAAATCGCACCCCTGTTTGTAGCGGAAGTCAGTCAGAAGTTCTATGAGCACGCGACGGACTGGTGCTTCAACTTACATCGCATTCCGCGTTACCGTCGCAAGAGTCGCACATCGGCTTGGCGATAATGGTATCGCGGGGAGACATAGGCGCAGGGGTTTGGTTGGCACGAACTGATCTGGCTACGGTGTGGGTCGCGGTCGTGATTACAGTGACGGGAATCTCGAGCACGTGTGGTGAGCGCGAAGCAGTAACAGTTGGTGGCTGGAGCATGATGGTGGACGCTGGATCATGGTAGTGATAGGTGACAATGGAAGTTGTGCCTGGCTGCTGGTAGACGACAGTAGAAGCTGGGTTCTGTACGGTGACAATGGATGTGGTGCCTGGTTGCTGGTAGATTACGGTGGAAGCCGGCTTCTCCACAGTGACGGTATTAATCTGAATCTGAGGGGCTGCCACGACGACAGTGGTAGTCTGAACCCGAGGAGCTGTCATGACGACAGTGGTGGTCTGAACCTGAGGAGCTGTCATGACGACAGTGGTGATCTGTGGACGCTGAGCAACAACTGTCACAGTGCTTGTCTGTGGACGCTGAGAAATAACTGTCACGGTTTTGGTCTGTGGACGCTGAGTGACCACTGTCACAGTACTGGTTACTACAGGTATCGAAGTAGTGGTCGTAGTGCATGGGGAGCTCTGAGGAGCTACGACAACAGTAGTGGTACTGGTAACAGGGGCGGACACGGTGACGGTGACGACTGGCGAGGACGTGGGGCCAACGACGGTCGAAATGACCACTGTCTCGGTGGTAGTTGTGGTCTCGCTGGGTCCAGAGGCAGAGACGTTGAAGCCCGGGGGCTGCCATTTGGAACGGACGCTCATGCACACCGTCATGTGAGTGGCTAAGTTGTTGCAAAGGTACTTGTCGCACTCTGCGCAGTCGGCGTGGCATTCCTGAGAAAAGATAAGTTAGCAAGCTGAGTACAGGCAGGAAACCTGGGACGAATTAACGTACTGGGCAAGTTTGGTCGTTGCAAGGGAAGCATTCCGACTGCTTGAAGGCAGTGCGACGAGTAGGTGACTGGTTGTCGCCATCGTTGGAGGCTAGCTCATCGCGAGGGGCCAGACTAGTGTGCGTCGGGGGTAGGGCTGTACGAGCAAGCGTGATGGTAGTGGTGATGTCGGAGATTGATGCCTCAGAAGTAGGCATGGCGGTCACAGTTACGACAGAGGTGCTGATGGTGGTCTTGAGGATGGTGGCTGTGACTGTGTGATTGCGGATGGCATCGCTGAGCTCGGGCTGGACGTCGAAGCAGCTACGCGTATTCAGAAAAGCGTCGAAACATTGGTAATGGTCGCAGTCCCGACATTTGTATTCATAAGGCTTGCAATACTACCAGCCAGAAGATCAGCAAAGATCATCCTATTCCGAAAGAAGAGAACATGAGGAAGACTTACGTCGCAAGGTTCCTTAACTGAGCACTGTTTGCATGAGGTTTCCGACAGAGCAATGGTACGAGGGGATACTGAGTTGTCGTTGCCAACAGCCATGTCGCCTCCCTGGTAGTAGGAGCAGTAGTTGTTCTTGTCGCAGCCAATGTGCCAGTTCCCGTCGACGACGGGAGTGTGCTGGGCTGGGACAGCATCGACAGGGTCCTCAATGGAACTTGGCTTGACTGCCAGGCCGGCAGGCGTAGCGGCACCGAAGGCGATGAAGCCAGCGATGACGCTGGTGGTGAGACGCATGGCGTGGGGTGTGGTTGGAGGAACCAAGCTCTACCGGTGGGATGCGTTGATGGGGTGGGCTCAGGTATGGATGACGGATGGATGAGCTGCGTAGAAGAGTTGATGGTAGAGTTGCTGGGCTGGTTGTGATGTGAGAGAGAAATGGAGGATGGAGACCCGAGGACGGGATTATATACTCATGCACGTAGCTTGTAGACGGGCAGCAGCAGTGAGGTGCTGCTGCTTCATGGTGTGTTGATGTTTACTGTGGTTGTAGATGGAAGAAGGTGGAACATGCTGAACCTGACGACGATGCTACTCCAAAGACAGCAAGGCCGACTCCTACACGTGGTAGTCAGAGAAGTCTCGAGTCTCCTCGTTGGAGAAGCGGCCAGTGCCTTGATCTTGCGGCCTCTACTACATGCATCGATAGGCCAGGTACCCAAACATCGTCCGCGGGATGGGCATGCTGCAACAATAGTTGGAACGGCTAATACAAGTGCTGAAGGAGAAGTATTGTCCTTCGAGTGTGGCTGCATCCTCTACAGCCTATGTCCTGTTCATGTCGGGTAGTAGGCGTCGGCGGACGTGCTCCTTCGTGATGAGCGTGGTGTCAGCAGCTCGGAAAGAGCGTATGGGCAGCCTGGGAACTGCATATAGCATGACACAGCCTTGGAAGGGGTGAATCGATGCACTACGAGCGTATGAGTGTGTCCATGTATTAAAGTCATGCTGCCTGGTTGCTGTGGGCTTGCGCTGCCATGTAAAGGTTTTGGGAATGCTGAAGTCTTGTGGCACGCGATGGAAAGGATGACGTTCATTGAGTCTAATGGAGTGGAAGCTGGCCGGGAGTCGCGAGATGGCTGCAGCCAATCAGGCAAGGGGCTGACGTAGCGCGTCAAGCTCCGTGGGGAAGGCGCGACGGTGGGTCAACTGCGACTCCATAGCTACCAGCGACTGCGAAACGACGCATCCAGACCTGAGCGCCCTGTTGGTCATGATGGACCTCTCGACGCTTGGGCGTGCCCCTCAGTGGCTCTCGTCCGCTCCTTCACTTCTGGTCCTGCTCCACGTTGAAGCGTTTCTGGCTACACAAACGCCTGCAAGCCCCGCGCAGCCCACTGCAGGCAACTGCGGCACCAACTTTACTTGAACCCTGATCTCGCCCGTATTCTCTCTCTAGTTCGCTGCCAATCCCGCTCGCAAGCCTCTCTACCTTGCATCTCCCTCCGCAGCTCATTCTACAAAACTCACGCGCGACCAACTGCCCGCCATGACCAACGACAAGGCTGCACCCGCTTTCATGGACCTCCCGCTCGAGGTGCGACACTCCATTTTCGAGCATGTGGCCGCGCGCGACGTCAAGCCTAAGAAGCTGCTCCGCTACTGGTTCGAGAAGAAAGAGGTCAAGGAACTCGTTGCCCAAGACGCCATTGACAACCCCAACGGTCCCACCCCGCGCGTCGTATACGCCAACGACTACGATGATTCCGATGACGAGAGTGCTGTAAGCGACCACAACAGTGAGGAGGATGATCAAGAAGAGAACGAAGATGCCGCGGAGGACAGCGAAAACGAGGACGAGGACGAAGACGAAGATGGAAATGAGGACGAAGGAGCAGAGCAGGAAGATGGCAATAATGAGGATGAAGCTGAAGATGAGTCTGAGTCTGACTTGGACGGCGAAGATGAGGACGATGAGGTAGAAGGAGCTGTCGCCGGCGCGCACGATACCCAGTCGGCAACTGCTAGCGTCCACGTTCCAGCCCAAGCTACGGCTCAAGTTGACCCCGACCACCACTCCGAAGACGGGATGGCAGCGGAAGAACCTGGACAAGGACATGCCGGTGAGGGTGACAGCGAGGATGAGGGCGACAACGGCGAAGAGACCGAGGGTGCCCAGCTACACAATGACGAAGAGGCCGAAGGCGATAGCGAGGGCGACGAAGATCTGACTGATGACAGCGGCAACGCTGCTGCTACAGTCGTTGCGGCTCAGCCTCCTCCTCCCCCAGCACCCGTATTCCGACCCCATAACAAGTGGCGCCACATACCGAACTTCATGCGCATCACTCACTGTCCTCCGCCGGTCCAGCTCCTGCTGGCCTCCCGCCAGCTGAACAACGAGGCAAAGAACTGGTTCTACGATGTAGCTGTTCTACGTATTGACGCCACTGGTAGCTTCGCCCACACGTCTTTCTTCGAAGAGGCAAGTCATTTTCCTGTGTGAATTAACGTGTAACATTTGCTGACTTCGTACACCAATGTTCAGGCTTTCAGCCAGATCACCGACGCTGCTTTTTCTCCTATGGAGAACATTCGAAAGGTTAATATAACTTTCGTTTGGGATTCAGCCTGGATCCGCGCCGACACTACCGACTCCATCGAGGCCATCTTCCCTGCCCTTCTTCGCCAGCGCTCCAATTTCGTATTCGAGATCCTGTTGAAGGCGCCAGACTTGCGAGAGGTCGTCATTCATTGGTAAGTCAGCCCAAGGTACGATTTACTTTCGGTCAATCACTAACGTTGCGCTCCTAAGGCACGACTCCATTCAAGACGACGAGAGCGCTAACCTCATGCTCGACAATCTTGCACCCTTCCATACGTTGGGCGCTACCGTCAACATCATCGAGCACTACATCGCGGCGGACGCCAAGCCCAAAAAGCGTAGTATCGCTGGCAAGCGTCGCGTCGAGTTCCAAAACATACTTGACATGGGTCTTGATCGGCTCTTCTAAGATGCGATGCTTGGCACCGTCGTACGGCGAAAACTCGGTTATAATCTCGTATTTCTGAAGAAGGCAGCCATATAAGGATGTGATCGAGGGTAGCTTTCCTTTTTCATGAAGTTTCGCCCCAGCAAGCCGGGGCTTTGCGTCCTAGTGCCTTAGCCTGCACATGCCATCGACTCTTGCGGTTACCGTGCATCGATCCATGGTTCCGAATGCGCAGTGTTAGTGGGCTGCAGGGTTCAAGTATCCGAAAGTAGGCTTTCGGAAATTCCAAGATACCTCATTACACTCTTTCACAATCTCTCTCATCTTTTGTGCTCTACGAATGAAGTGTTTGCTAACATCACCACCACCAGCTCAAAATTTAAAAGCTGCGCGGAACATGCGTTCTAGATTGTACCTCTCGACGTCCTTCTTTTCACAATTGTTATCCGCGGTTCTCGGACAGGCGCATATGATCGCCGTTAGGTTACGGCTCACGAATGCGGGGAAAGAACACCTGATGTGCTATTCACCACCCATGGCTGATAGCGCAAACACAAGGCTATTCTGAGTGGACGGCATGGGAGATCGTTTAGTTGTTGTGAGAGCTAATAGCTCGTAGCGTTCCCTAAGCCTTGGGGTCGCCATCTAGATGCGCGGAAAGGGTCCGCTAGTATCACCGGCGCCAAGCCGAAAAGAGCAGAAGATGGGGTAGTGCGGTACTCAAGTTCACAAAAAACCTATGGCATCCGATAAATGGTCTGCGATGGGCTGTAAGTGGCCGAACTTTATTTGCGAGGGGCAAAGAAATACTGAACATTTACTTAAACGGATTGCTGGACTCCCAAATCTGACTCTTGACAGTTGTCTTGTCATCTGGTATCCGAACATCTTCTCAGAGTGCCCAGATCATAACAGAATTTCATCATGGGTATATACAACAAGCTTGCAGACGACATTAATGAGGTAGATGTCATCATCGCTGGAGGTATGTCTATCATATTCACCCTCATCGATTCCCCCACTGACATCTTTGCATAGGCGGTACAGCGGGTTGTATCATAGCCGGTCGACTTGCTGAAGATGACCCCTCCCTTTCTATTCTTGTAATCGAAGGGGGCGCGAACAACAAAGATGTCGCCAGCGTTGTCAACCCCGTTTTCTACCTGCAGAACCTACTGCCTGCCACCAAGACCGCTCTCTTCTACAAAGGAAACAAGTCGAAGCAGCTAGCCGATCGCGAACCCATTGTACCTTGCGGTGGTACCTTGGGCGGAGGCAGTTCAATCAATTTCATGATGTACACACGAGCACAAAGATCGGACTTCGATAGCTGGAACACACCTGGCTGGTCAGCTGAGGAAATGTGGCCGCACCTAAAGAAGCTAGAGACCTACCACGGGCCCGGAGCGAAAGAGCACCACGGCCACAGCGGACCAATCCATGTCTCAGACGGAGGTTATCGCGCAAAGGCTGCTGAAGACGACTTCATAAGCGCAGCTGAAAAGGTCGGCTACCCTGAGATCGAAGATCTGCAGAACCTGGACGATAACAACGGTATTGCGCGATGGCAACGCTACGTCTCACCAGAGGGCAAACGCCAAGATACCGCACACACATATCTCCACCCGAAGCTCGAAGATGAGCGGTATTCCAACCTTCACGTTCTCGTCGAATCGAAGGTGGTGCGCGTGCTGTTCGACGAGAACAAACGTGCCACGGGTGTCGAATACACACCAAACCCAGAATTCCAAGCTGAAATCGGTCTGAGCATGCATCCCGTGAAGGCTGTGAAGGCTCGCAAGTTGGTCGTCGTCACATCTGGTGCTTGCGGTACACCACCCATTCTCGAACGTTCGGGTCTGGGCTCCAAGGAGATCCTCGAACGTGCTGGTGTACCTCTTGTGGAAGAGTTACCTGGTGTAGGAAAGGACTACCAAGACCACCACCTCCTTCTCTACCCCTACAAGACTGCCCTGGCACCCGACCAGACGATCGATGGCATTCTGAGCGGACGTGCCGACGTTGCCGAGATGATGAAGAACAAAGACCCCATGCTAGGCTGGAACGGCATCGATATATCTTCCAAGCTTCGCCCTACTGAAGAAGAAGTCACTTCTCTCGGACCAGAGTTCCAAGAAGCGTGGAACCGCGACTTCAAGGATGCTCCAAACCGTCCGTTGATGCTGTGCGGTCTGGTGTCTTGCTTCTTGGGCGACCCAGCAAGCATACCTGCGGGCCAGTACGTCACAGCAGGTAACTACACCGCGTACCCATACTCGCGCGGACATATGCACATCACCGGTC